AGGCTCCTCAGGGTGTTCTTAGAATATAATTGTGATTTTAAATTCTAGATAATTGATTTAGAGCCTCTACTCAAAACCAAGTAACTTCTATTAGCTGGGGAAGGAGTTTCTCTCACTGTGAATATAGCATAAATCTTGAATACAAGCACTTTGTCAATCTGTAGGTGTTTGAGTCTTTCATCCTGGCAAACGGCAAGGCTTTCACCAACATGATCTAGGCTAGTTTAGAGAGTCTGAGCAAGGAGTATTATTTGCAAGAGTCCTAGGGGAAAAAGAAATCAAGTGTCCAACTTCCTCCTACCCAGTGAAGTTTGTTTTGCAAGCATTTTTATTTCAGAGAATCCAGGCCTTCCTCAGATTTCTTCAATACAAGTGGGAGACAGCAGTACCCCTACCTACAATTCTCAGTACTGCCCTGTTACCTTAAGTATTCCAACACAAACACCCAGTGATGGCAACACACTATTTCTGTAAAATGCAACATTCAGCTCAGAAACTTACACCTGGGGACGTGATCTTCTTATGCTGACAGGATGTATAAAATAAAGAGCTTCGAAATACTTATGTATCTCTCCTGGAAGTACATCACAGCTTAGATTGTATTGCATGAACAGTGTAAACAACTCTAAATCACAGGCTACTTCTACACTGGAAATGTATTATAAACAGCAAAAGGATTAATGCTGTGTTAAAGAAAGTGATAACCCTGCATAGTGTGCAATTTTTCATTTTGCTCAATTTCAAAATGCATCATATAAATTACATTCATAAATGTCAGGAAAAAAAACAACAAAAAACCTTCTTCCAGGCTTATTTTCATTTGCAAAGATTTCAAGCAGCAGAAAATTATTCTTATCTCTGAAAAAGCTTTTGTATTTAACCTCTTTCTGTACTTAACATTAACACAATTGCATTTGGTTAACAGAAATCCTGTAGCATCCAAAGGCATACTCTTCAATTTAATCCACTGAGAGCTTTAAACAATTTGCAACATCTACAATCACAGTCCTCTTAAACATTTCCACAAATTCTATGGGTTTTGATGCTCCTTCTAGCATGAAAGTGAGATCCCACACACAGTGTTTATTTATGAATTGGTGAAAACTGAAGCAAGGACAGAACTGGAAGCCACATGGTGCTACTTCAGTGCTAAAAGCCCTTGCATCTGTGTCACAACTCATAGCTATCAGAAAGAAAAGGGCTGAACATACACTGGAGCATGCCTTAAAGTGAATGCAGCAACAAATACATCAGAGAATGTGTGTTAATGCTACATGTTAATTATATATAGTGACAAAGATGATTATTTATAGTGGTCAGGCTTATTCTATACCATAAGACAAGCCATGAATACCTCAACAGCATAACCACATCTTTCCTCCCAGACAACATAATTCTGGCTGTTTTAATAAGTAAGTCACCAAATTCCTCTCCATAACACTTCAACCAGCAGGAGAACTCCTTAAGGAAAAGCCAAAGTCCCCAAACACATGAGTAACTTATACCAGCACTCAGGAAAGGATCAAGCAAGGGAAAAGACAGCTAGCTAGAAACACTCAAGAGTTTCTGAATCTTCAGAGGTCATCAGGAAAACTGGGTTACATATCTGAGATGTAACAGTCAAGAAAACGAGTATCAGAGCACAGAAATTAATGGAGCATGAAACTGAAGAGCAAAATAACTTTATTTTAAAGGAAGCAAGCTCCTCTAGCACACTCTCTTGGGCTTAATTCTCTTCATCAGTCTTACCAGATTTACTGTGGTTTACGCAAGTTAAGGTTAGTAACTTACTTCTTGAAAGTTCATTATTGCTATTACTAACAGCTAAGTTTTAAGAAAATTATTTTTGACTAAAATAACTTACAGCAAAAAATATTACCAGATAACCTTCTGCAAATGAGGAAAAAAAAAAAAAAAAAAAAAAAAAAAAAAAAAAAAAAAAAAAAAAAAAAAAAACAAAAAAAAAAAAAAAAAAAAACAAACCCAAAACAAAAAACAAAACAAACAAAAAAAAAACACCTCAGAAACACAATAAGCAGAGGCACATAAATGAACCACCAAAAAACTAACCAACATTCTCCAAAATAAATAAATAGTGACATCTCTCTGGAAAAAATTTAATGATATTTTACTCTTTTTTTTTGTTATTTATACTATTTATAAAACACATTTATACATATACAGTTGTATATGTATATACAAGTTGGTCACACTGACAGATTATCAGGTCCAAAGCAAAGATACCATACTGAAACATTACCAGAAAAAAAAAAAGGAAATGAGTGATTTTTTTAATAAATAGATTATATTTAAAGTATTATTTTATTTTAAGGCAAAATAAATTCAACTTTAAAAAAATATAACTTTCCAAAAGCTGCTAATTTCCTGGAATGCCCAGCAAATACTCTACTAAAGCACAAGAGGTAGATCCATCACTAAACAAAACACAAGCCTTAGTAATTTTCTTTTAACTCCACACACTTAATTATAGTTGGAATTCTCTACTGCTATTGCCTACCTCTACTTTAATCTTATTTTAAGATTAACCAACTGAGGATAAAATCTACCCAGGAAACTCAATTCCCATCCATAACTAATGTCTTTAAACAACTCTTTACCCTCCATACCATTACTCTGGTTGGGCAAGTTCAACTTTATTGATATTGAAGAATTGATACTGGAGAGTATTCTTAAGAGCTGTAAGAAAAAAAACTAGCAAAGTCATCTTGTCAGTCATCTTGTATCAGCTGTATATACATCTGCAAAGGTTCAGATTGTCTGGGAACAGTTTTGTTCCTTTTTTAGAAGAAAAGAAAGACAAAAAAGGTCATACCTACACAACTTGTTGGGTTCTGGCACATTCTTTGGCCCATGTTATTAGTGGGGGATCAGCTTTTCACAGTCATTCCTTAACCACCAGCGTGAACACGCTACCACTGGTTTGAATCAGTGCATCTTAAAGTCATATATGCAAGCAATGTAGGAAGTGCTGCAGTGGGCAGAGAATAAATAAATACCTTTCTCAATAATATGCATAATACTATGTAACACTTTCAAGATAGTGTTGGGTTTTTTTTAAGAAGAATTTTGCAGGGCTGAATATTATTTTTTCTACTCCAACCATGTTTGCTTTGACCACGCACACACACACACCACGTTTATTTTGTTACTCAATTGAGAAAAACAAAGATCTCCATAGTTACTAACAAGCTGCTCTGACAGGATATAATGGCAGCTCATTTTGTATCACCCAAGCTTCATGCATTGGGTTTTTGCTGTTACAAATTAAGAACTATTTGGGAGAAGTTGTGTTCTTTAGAAAGACAATGTGCTTCCCCTGTGTTTAATGCTCTTTATGAAAAATCAGAAACAACTACAGAAGATGTCATTCTCCATGGCTGGAAACTGCCAGGATCTGAGTTTAAAGGATGCATGTTACAGGAAAAGAACAAGTATAGGGAGATGAAAGGATAAAAAAGAATAAATCCAAGGTCATGAACAGATCAGCAACAGAAACATGTTCTTCAAAGAAATATTTTTGGTCATTTGCTTTCAGTTAGGCCCTCTTTCTTAACCAACTCTATTCTCCTGGCTAGGACACACACCATACCACATCATTTCTGGCACAGGATTAGTAAAATAGAAGGATGGCCACAACTGAGCTGGAAACTATCTTGTCATCAGTTCTGTTGGCCAACACTAACTGCTGGAAGTATTCTGGGAATAGTTTGCTGTTTTTTTGTTTTGTTTTTTTCTTTTGGTTTTTTTTTTGGCAACAGAGAAGAAAGGCATAAGCCATTCTGGTGACGAAGTGCAACACCAGCAGCCAGAAAGTGAAGCATTCTCAGGGGTGGAAGAAATTTCTGTTGTGCCACCTACAGCAGACAGGAGGTTTCTGTTCCAGGTTAGATGCCTGAGAGCCTGTTAGTAACTCCAACATTACAAGCCGGTAGCTTATATCCAGTTTCTCTCTCCTCTTTCCATTCTCAAGAACTATGTGTTTCTAACCAAAATGGATTTCCCAGTGCACTACACTAAACAAATGACTGCACAAATAGCCAAATTTGTTTACTAAAGATAAAATTTACAAGACACATACCACAGTATTTCTTTACACTGGACAGTGACAGCTGTATGTGTACAGGTTTTTTAGTTACTCTCATTATATCTACACTTCTGCCGAAACTGGAGGCAAAACCGCTACCATGTCATTTTGTTTGACATCAATGGAATGGTACAGCGTAATAAACACATTCCTCACAAGACTTCTATTATAAGCTAATCAGCTAATATTTCAAGGAAATGTATAGTGCAATAGCTGGTTTTAAGTATATGCCAGACACCCTTTTTAAAGAATCACAGAATTGGTATGGTTGGAAGGGGCTTCTGGACATCATCTTGTCCAATCCCCCTGGCAAGGCATGGTAACCCAGAGCAGGTGACACAGGGACACATCCAGGTGGGTTTGGAATGTCTCCAAAGAGGGAGACTCCACCACCCCCTAACCAGCCTGTTCAGTGCTCTGATACCCTCAATATAAAGAAGTTCTTTCTCATGTTAAGGTATTTCTTGTCATTTAATTTATGGCCACTGCTGCACACCACTGAAAAGGAGGTCTCAGGCCACGTTTAAGTAGAAACAACCTAACAATTCACATATTAAANTCAAAAATAAAAAAAAAAAAAAAAAAAAAAAACAAAAGCACAGTCAACTCTTCAGAAGACTATGACGACATTGTCTTGAAAAGTAATATAGAAGTCCCTATCTAAATGGGTCAGCAGTTCTCCTAATAAGTATCGTGATAATCACCTGCAAGCTAATGTTATTTTAAAAAAATCCACTCTACCTTACAAATCCATTTGAGAGAATTCACCATTCTAACACAAACTCAGCACATTTATTGCTCTAAAACACAAAATTACTTCTAGATTGAGAACACAAGGCTTTAAGACATGCAATACCCACTGATAGTTAAAAATGTTTGTAAGGAAACAACTTACTTGATTGAGTTTCTGAAATGGTCCTCAGCAGGATTTTTTACTGTACAACTGTTCAGCAACCATAAATCTGCTTCAGCAGAGTTGTCTACAAAACAGAAAGAAACAAACCTGTGTTAAGAATTACTTAACCTGTCAACTCCTAACTTATATAATATTAAAAAACTCCAAACTGAGCCATTAATAATAGGTTGGCTATTTGCAAGATCACTTTATATTCAATTACATTCTTGGAAGGGTTTTTTGTTTTTCTTTGTTTTGTGTTTTAGAAAAAAAAAAAAAGAGACACATGAGCATTTCTATTGTAATTTCTTTTTATTTTTTTTTGCTGATGGGGAATAAACTGTTATCTCATTTACCAGCTGAGATGCCACTAGGTTGCACATCATGGAAGATAAAGTTAAAAAGAATGGTCACAATGCCCAGAAAGATCTTGCCTAGACAAAGGCAAAATTAAGTGGTCAACAAAAGCAAGTTTCACTAAGAAAACAAAATCCCTGCTTCAGCTCCACTGTGAATTAATACTACAAAAGTATCACAAATCACAATTCAGAACATGTGGACCTCTACTAAAGAGAAAAATCAATGCAGCTGCTTTGGAAGGAAACATATTTCTGGTTTTGGTTATATCTTAGTTATGGTGTAAGTACAGCTCAGCAATTTTCAGACAAAAGATATTCAACCAATATCTGCCTCCATTCAAACGAGGATACTATTTTTTTCAGGATCCAAACCTTTCTGTAAGTTCAGAGCCTATTGATATCTAAATTCATTAACAGAACTGAATCCCAGAATTATCTGCAGAAGTGCATATATAAACCCTAATCCTGTCAAAAATGGTTTATAGTACAAAATTACTAGCATAACCATTATCCTTGTGAAGTTAGAGTGTCTTTTTTCAAACAAATAATAATATATCTCATTAGATTATTAAGCACTATCTCAAATAGTTTAGTGCTTTAGCATTCATCAGAATGGCTTGTACCAGTTTGGATAAGAAAATTCATGTCACTTCTACTATTCAGTACATTGAGCATTGAAGTATTGCCTGATGTATCTTTAAAAAACAAAAGCCAGTGAGCAATGAATACATGTAAAATATAATTTTAGGATGCCTTACTCAAACTGACATCCTGCTAAAGCAGGAGAAACCCTGCCATGACTTAGGCATATTTATACACACATCCATCATTAATGTATCCATACAGGCAAGAATATCCGTTTCCTCCATGTACACACGCTTAGGACAAAATGCTAAAATAGATAAAGCTTTCTGTCTCATTGATATTTCTTCAAAGAAATCATAATTTCCAATTAATTATCAGTCACTTAACCTATGAAGCAGGCAAATTGAAAATAATACATAAAATGCAACTAATGCTAAATAAGAGAAAACATTCGGGGGGGTTCTAATATTGTTGAACAAGATTACACTATTAATTTGACTAAAACACAACTTCCTTTCACAACAGGGAAAGACCACAAAGCAGTCATCAAAATAACATTCAGACCTTTAGCTACTTTAAAAAAAACAAATGTCCGACCCTATCAGGTTGGGAAAGAGCACTCAGATTTTTTAGTCTACATAGAAGTCAAAATAAAAATGGAACAAGACAAAGAACCTCTCCTGCAACCCAGGCTGCATTAAAACTACTTTTTTTGACTAATGAACAGACCCATTTACTATTAGATAATCAGAGGTAAAAAAAAAATTATTAGGAATTATGTAGAGAAAAGAAAAGAAACAAAGTTTCAATGTCAGAAAAGGATGATCTCTTGGCCTGGTCAGATGTACCAAATATGAAAACAAACACATTTTGAAAGTAGTTTTCCAGTCACACTGCCAAACCCTTGTATTTCTTATTCTTTTCAGCAGCATAAAATGTTTATAAATTCAGCCCCACACCCATAACACACCCACATGAGAATTAGGGGTGGGAGACACACACACACACACACACACTAATAGCAAGAGGCCAACATGTGAGTGAGACATTACATTTAACAGACAGCAGTTGCAGTAGCACTCATTCACCACCGTAAAGCACAACTATTTTCAAGAGATGTCTTTATTCAGAGGAGGAATGCCTTGACACAGAGAACACCAGTTCTAGGCTTGGTCTCAGTTCGTCCTTGTGCCGTGGTTTCCAGGTGTGCAGGAAGAGACAACACTGTGACAATGCTTCTCCCCTAGAGACAAAATCAAATCCCTCTCTTCAAAACAGCCTTGAAAAATGTAACACATTAAAGTTTAAAAAGTCCTCACATACTAAAGCCAACGGGACTAATTTCATACAGCAGTTTGATTTCCTGGCTATTAATATACCGACTCCTTGACTGAGGGAAAATTGCAAGACTTTATGTATGTTACACACATAGTCTCCCCAATACATGTAAATTCATTCCTTAACAGGTTTCATCCTCTGCAGAACAGAAGATAAAAAGTAAATGCTTTTACAGAATAAAATCTGCTGAGCAGTTTTGAGAAAAGGAGTCTCATTCATGTACATATCTAAAAATCATTTAAGGACAATTAAAGTGTACATGAGGTTTGTCCTCCTCTTAAACCAACAGTATTGTTTTATCATATTTAGATGTTCTATTTCTGCATTTATTTTTAAATCTATTTTTCCTAATTATTCTAATGATGTCTCATACGAATATATGTACATACAAGTTTTGATTATGCATATATATAAACATATAGATACACACTTATGAGTTATATTCATTTATTAAGTAAGATTCCATATCACAACTCTTCAAAATGATAGCTGAATTTTCTTAGTACTTTACTGCCCTATTCATACTTAAAATAATTGCATGCACTGGTGTAAACTCACCACAGTCTACTGCATTTTCTCAATAAAATTTCAGTTAAAAAGGAAAATATTGCCAGCAGGGCCTTTTTGTATCAGGTTGCAGGAAGATATGAACATTTGCAACATTGTGGGAATAACTTGTCAGCGGACACATTTTGCTTTGCAAGGCCTTGATGGATGTCTGGAAACAAACATGGACCAAAAGAGCAGACTGGGCTTGGCATGTATAAACAACATCTTCTAGCTTCATAATTACTAAATATTAAGCAACACCGGGATAATAATCTTTTCTTCAGGACAGAGAGACTGGAGCAACTGGCCGCCTATATATACACATAGGTATATGCATGTGTATATGTGTGTGTTTGTATATATTTGCATATATATACCTGTAAGTGTTCTGACATGAGTAGGTGCTAGTGTTCAGCACTGTCCTCAAATAAAGAATGAAAAAGCTCTGACAAATAAGCTCAGGCTTCTAAATACAGGCCTAGAGGGGCAGGGACAGACAGCCCTGAGGATTCCCTGTTTATACTCCAGGCAGACAGATGAAGAGTTTAGGTCTGGATGGGAAGCACCACATGAACGTGGTGCTGCGCCCACTGAGGCAGCTTCCTTCCTTGGAAGGTCTTCACCTGCCACCTTTTCCAAGTCCCTAAGGAAGGTTTTTGAGAAACCTCCAACATTTCAGTGAAGAACAGAGGCCTGTGTTTGGGAGCTCACACAGATCTGAGTGAACAGGACAATCTAAACTTTACAGGTTTTCCAGCAAGTCATAGAGACAGGCGAAACTGAAGCAAGAACCCTGATTACGGTGAATATCAATTACGGTAGTGAATATGATATAGGTGCATATGTCCTGCAACAATCCTCTCCAAGGGGATCTTCTTCAACTTATTTTTGCCATATATTCAGCCTAATGATACTTTTTAAATTATGATATTTTGCTGCCAACATTTATGTTTATGAGCTACTTAAACAGTTTCATCTATGGTAAGACATTTTTAGCAAGAAAAAAAGAAGGTATGTCAAATCAGCTTTGTATCAAATGCTCCAAAACACAACTCAAAGCCATGCTCTTTTTGCATTGTGACATCTTTTCCATAAAAAAAAAGGCTACACTGGAAGTAAACCACAAAGTCTATCATACCCTCTGAAAAACAACATTGAGTACAAAGGAACCTAAAGGTCATGGAAACTTCTGAACACTTAAGTTAATTGGGAAATTCTGGAAAACATGAATTAGCTGCATTATGCAAGACTAAGATGATAAAATGGCAAGAGTCTGTAACATCAGTATACCTATAGAGGAAAATAATATTTACAATTATTTTCTAACTAACAGTGTCAGTTTTGTTATCATTTCAGAAATCATAAATCAGCAGAATTTCTTAAGATTGTAGTAACACTATCAGCTGAAAATAAACAGCTGACTTGGGTTTGTCTGGTCTCTTAACTTTTAATCTTTTTTCTTTCAATTTTTTCCAAAACTTTGTTTTCTTCCAAGCCCCCTCAAACCACATCTCCTTGAAAATCAAAACACTCACAGAACAAAAAATTAGAACACATCTAGTGAAGGCCTAAAAGAACAGCCTTTCTTTACTTTCTTCAGCATATCACTCCTCTCTCTGCACTGAAACCACTATCAGATTTGCTCAGCACAGTTTGCTAAAAAAACATGACTCATAACTATTATGACATACTTTTCAATACTGTACATCAATCAGAGAAATTCAATCTGAAAGCAGATCTTTCTCTGTAATCACTGAAGGCTCTTCCAGGGCTTTTTCCTCCAGCTGTCCTTATCCTGTTCCTCATCAGTCTGTGAGTCTTCCTTCTCACCTTTTCTGATTTTCGAATTTCTAATGCTCTTACACAACAAATATACCTCCAGTGTCTCTGTTTCCATGTGCTGTATTATGTTCCCATTATGGACCTCCCTATTAAATGCTTTGTCCTGTGTGTTCTTCCTTCCAAAACAGCTGTGCTCCCTCCCTTGATACCCTGGTTGCCATTTCATGCTCTGGAGCCAGATCCAGTAACATCCAAGGTGTCTGGAATGTGTGCCTGCAACTGTACTCCATGGGAATCATCTGCCCCCAAATGACACAAATATCTAAGCATGAGGACACCTCACAGACAGTTACAGAAGTCATGGAGCATCCTGACTGGAACAAAGTTGCCAAACTAATTATTTTCTTTCGACATCCCTGTGTCACAGAAACCCAGTGTCACTCCAATTAGGTTACTGAAATTAGGTGCTGGT